TAGTGATATCTATTTTATTTTAAATTAGCCAATTAATCACTACCATTTTAGAAAAGTAATATAATATCAATCATTAATCTTTATGAGAGAAATATTTTTGGAAGCAACTCGTATAGATTTAACCCTTATCCTTTTATTAAACCTCTTACTCGCCTAAATAGTGCCTAAATAAAGTGGTGTAGAAGACATTTGCCTCCTTACTTATTTTTAAGGTGTAGGTTTTTAGGGCTAGGGAATAAAAAATTTGGATGTAGTGGATAAATTCAGGCATGTTGTCTTCAAATTTTTTCCCATCACGTAGACGTTGTCTTTAGGGGTAGCGTTGTTAGAGAGCGTTACTCTGTAAACAAGTTGAAGTTCTGAAACATAATTTTAAATTGGGCGAAATATTGCATGAGTTTGTTCTATGAATCTGTTTTCGTCGATTCGATGAGTCTGATTAAGTTGACTCGATGATTATTATTTAGAGTCGACTAGATGACTCTCCTTCAGATTGAGTTTGATTCAGAGTCCACTCAACGATACTGATTACGAGTACACTCAAATATGTTCTTGAATAGGCCTGCTATTATTATTTGCTCCTTACTACTATTCTGTTTCGGGCCGAATTAAATATTTTGAAATTCAAAGTTCTAGGATTTCTGGGTATTCTAAGTAGATAATCACACTCCTATTATTTACGCCCTAAGAATAATTTTCAAAATTTTATTATCTGCTTCGGATTTAATGAAAGGTTTTGGAATAAAAAGGGAGTTCTATATTTATTCTTGTAAAACACTTAATGTTCTGTTTAAAGAAGTATCATAAAACTAAGACTATTTAAATTAAAACTAGATGGAGTTTAAATAAATGGAAAGATATATCGATATCACCGTTGAAAAGGTAAGCATTATAAAATCGCTCGTTATGTCCGAATATTTCCGAAACTTTTTATAGCATTGATTTATTTAACTTTAAATAGAAAATTTTAAATAAGTTATGATTCATTTAAAACTAGACATTAGTTACTAGCTAAAAGGGTTTTAAATATGTATAGATACCCATTCTCTCTCTTGCAAAACCTTCTTTTTATCCGGTTTTGAAAATGTAAGGTTAATGATTATATTTGTTTTGTTTAAATAGAAGACTAAATTTGATATCGTGAGGTGATTTTTTTCTACCAGTGATTAAAATCTGACTATTTTCAGCAACTCTTTTCCAGTTGTGCACCGGTTATCTCAAACCGATAGTTAAATTTTTACCTGTACTATTTACTAATTAGGAGTGAACCAATTAATGCACCGATTTATATGCACCTTTAAAAATATGAATTGAATAGAACGGTTTCTCAAAATTTAATTTAAAAAAATGTATAAAATTAGATATTCACAAGGATATAACAAAAAAACACTCCACATAGTACTTTAGGTAGATTATTCTGCGTTATAAAATCATTTTCTTCCAGAAATAAAAATCTCAGGGAGTTGCTAGATGTTAAGAAATCTCTATATAATAATTACTTTTAATGACCGATAATACAATCGAGGTCGATTGATTTCTTAAAAGCTTATAAATTAAAATTTCACAGAATAATCTTGCGACGGAAAAAAGTGCAAAATTTAATTTAAGTCAGAGAGCTGACTACCAGGCCCAGAACGAGTCAAAAAATGCTATGACTTTAAAAATTACAAATTCAGGTCGGTTCGATATTTTAATTAATATAAATTATATCAATTGATCACTTGGAGAATCATATAACGGAATTATTTATGAACTGCTCACATTTTTCAATTTTCCTTCGGAACAATTTGGTACGACCAAAATTATTCAAAATAAATTTTAAATATTCCTGGCCAGGCTTGAAAATAAACTCTTTTTTATTGGCCTTAACAGGCCTCTTTTAAAAGTGAACTTTTTAATCCGAGCAAGAAACTTTCACTTTTAAAAATGATAAACTGTAGAAAATGGTTATTAGGCACAAAATTAATATTTTGCCACTTCGGAAAAATAATATCTCCCTTGTAGCAGACACCATACTTAGCTTCAACTTATTGAATGAAGCAACTAGGGATATAAATAAGTTAACGGTAAATTCTATTTCGAACTTTATGATAATCTACTCGATCATAAAACCCCCCTCTTCACCTAAAATTCTGTGCCATTAATTATGTAGACTTGCGGCAGAGGCAATACTTAAACCCAAACAAAACTGAATATTGTATAAAATAAAAAATATGTTAAATATTTGGTATAATTAATATGATTAAATAGATTGAAATAAATATTTTTGACGATTTTAATTTTTTTTTTAGAAAATTATTTAACAATTATGTATAAAAGTAGATATTAAGAATTAAAAAACAACTTGGATTCAATAAAGCGAATCCTAAAGCATAAGGCAATTGAGTAAGTATGGAACAACTCCTTTTTGTATAATTTTTCAGCTAACCGGTTGTTAAAATTTTAGCAACCCAGATCTGATTTTTTGCCATTACTTTTAAAGGGTCTCTATTTTTATCTTATATAAATATTTTGTTGATATAACTAGATTAAAAATTTTCATAGATTTTAACTAAGGTTACTTTATATCTATTAAATAAACAGAAAATAAATAATTCTATAAATAAAAATAGTAAAATTGTAGGAAATAAAACTATTTCGAATTGTGAGAATTATTTAAATCTCGATTCAAAATTAGATAATAAGAAAGACACATCAATTAATTTTTGTTTTACTTATTTATTCTTAACATTTTTCTGCTATTCTTTGGGTTGCCTACCACTCAAAATGGTAAAAGTTTTATCAATAGTAGGAATCCAACTAAAAGAAATAAATAGCACCGATTTATAAATTATGTTACCTTAATTTAATATCCATGTTTTATAATTAAATAAATAAATTCAACTTTTTAAAAATAATTTGTGATTTTTATTTTTAAAATATTAATAATTATTTATTAAAAAACTAAAACTTATATTAAATAAAACTGGATTGGACTGAAATAAATTTCTAGGCAGGGAAGAACCAGGGACCAGGAACTGCAACTAATATATGTTCAGGGTCATGTAAAAATATAGGTTTAGGGTTCAAGTTCGGTTCCTAAAAAAAGAAGTGCATTCTTTAAATTTTATCACTAAATCGTCTACATAAAATAACTAACGTGTATTTCTTTCTTAAAATAAACCTGGGCGGGGAAAATTCATTTTCAACTGAGCCAGGCCAAAAAAAAATTCCTATAAACCGGCCGAATATTTTAAAACTCCATTACTATTATTTAAAAATTGTATAATATAATATATCATAATCATTTTCTCATAGTTCCATTTTAAAGTCTGCAATGATACAAACTTAACCGTTAAATCGCTATTAACCGGTATTTTATCGAACCTGAACCGAGCCAAAACCGCTAAAAAAATTCTAAAAATAATAATTTAATATATACATATAACTAAATAGCATTTTAAAAATTTTACACGCATCGCAACGCCAAAAAAAAAATCGGCAGCGAGTCTGGAGGTGCGGCTTATCTTAATCAGCCGCTCTTCCAGCTAAACTACATTTTAATTTGTCATTTTACACCTTACTATAATAGGTAAATAAAATAATTATAAATTTCGAGATTGATTATTATAATTTTTATATTTAGTCAATCAATCATACATTACAAAATAAAATATTTTTTGCTAAAAATGAAAATGTACTCTTTTTTTGGTTTTAATAAAAATAATCTTTATTTAAGAATAAAGAAGATAAAAAAAGTTACTAGATACTAATTGATTATTGGTATATTTATTAAAATCTGGGCCGAAAATTGGTTTTTAATACCAAAATAATTTATACACCCGGACCTAGCCGAAATTTTATTTTGAAAATAATATGGGCCAGGTGGGAACTGATTAAAAACGACTGAGACGAAAAATACAAATTTTTAAATAATTTGGGTGGGGCCAAAAAATTTTTATATAAGCCCTGCTATAAATATACCTAATTTATGAATTATAACAAAATAGTATTAATTTAAAATCCAAATATTTATTATAAAAATGTTGATTTATACTAATCGACCAATCAAAATTGATTGTAAATAATCTTTATAAGAGTTAGGTTGTCAAGAGGTTCAAAGCAATTTATGTACCTTTTTAGAGGTTCGACACAGGCTCAGATGACAAAATTTTTAATGGTTTAGATTTGATAAATATGTTAATAGTGGCTAAAGGGTTTGGATTCTCAGAATTACAGACAAAAATGTCAAAAGTACCCCGGACAAAAATGCCAATTTTTAATAAAATGCTCCAACTGGTGAAAATTTTGAAAATGTATTTTTTTAAAGAATTTTAACAATTTTTAAAATTGGAGTATTTTTATCAGTGATTTGAATCTCTGGAAGGAATCAATATAAATTTTTTCAAAATAATAGAAATAGTACTAAACTATTATAAAATGTTAACCTTAGGATTGTATTACTTAATTGTTATACATAACAGTTAAATACCATCTCAGCTTGCAACCCATAAAATATATCAGGAAGTGAATTCAAATAGTAGTAAATGAAGTTTTTAACCCATCGCATATTTAAGTATCCAGATCCATATATATTCGAATTTTATTATAGTTTTAAATAGAGTAAAATAAATAACCAAAATAACTGCTGAGTATAAATTTAAAGCATAACTTTATCATAGAGAAAGTTAATAGGGAATAAAATCAATATTTAAAGTATGAAATATATTTCCATAGAAATTTTGTAGGACCTTATGTGCCTTGACATCACAATATCTTTTATTTTTTTAATATTAAAAATATCTATATCAAAGATTTGATTAAAATTTTAAGCACAACTCTGATTTTTTTAAAAATATCATAAGACTTACACTTATGTGAAATGTTTAATTTAAAAACTTTTATTTTCATTGCATTAAAAATATATAATTGTGTCTAAATAAATGTAAATTATTTTCTTTATAATTAATGATAGAAAGGGACACTGGCCCTAGATTTCATTAATTCATTATGTGTTTTAAATGAAAATTTAAGATATGAGCACTAAATATTAGTGTTGTTAAATAATTTAAGTTGAGACAATTTTTAAAAAGAGCTATCTAAATATTTTAGCTAGGAAAATATTGCATAAGCCTCAAGATTTTGATAATAGATACTCCAAACATTGGTGTCATCTATGAACTAAATCTTCTAGCCTGAGAAATACTTTCCTAGATAAAATATTGAGTTAGCTATTAAGTAGCATTTACCTTCATTATACAAATAAAGATAAATCTAAATATTTATTTAAATACTATTATGTAATATAACATATAATATAAATTTTATATTAACATATATAATTAGGATATATTTTTATGTTTTCTTTTCAAATTTTTAGTTATTTTCTCATCAGATGTTTCATCAATACCCTCAAACTTTTTAATATCATCTAGAACATCTTTTACATCATCTTGTGAGAGAATCTATGTAATATTTATTATTGAATAATAAACTAAAATAACTTGGGATTTAAAATTTGCAAAAACATCACTTCTTATTTTTAATTTTTGGGATAACATATTATAATCGTCAGATAATGCTTCCATATCTTTAGTATTAACTTGATCTTAAGATCCTTCTATTAAGATAATATCAATAAAATAAACTTTTATTTTCATTAACTAAATCCTTAATAAAACTGAAATGATCTTTTATATTGCCTTCCAATTTTGATGTTATAATAGAAGATGAATCAAGCCACTTGGTCAGATTTAGATCGTGGAGATCCATCAGAATAAACTAAATTTTTAAATAAGTTAATAAAATATTTTCATTTCTATTATTTTTACTATTAATGATATATAGCGTTGTCTAATATTTTGCTAAACAATAACTTAGTTTTTCAAACAAAAATCAATTTTTATTAAAATACGATAAGTCCTAATTTTTATATATATTAATAAAATTACACCATCATTTACGATATTCCATGATTCCGTGGCACAGAAGCCATTATTTATCTTAAGAAAAAAAGATTTGGTCCTTGCTGGATTTAAACTAAGATCTTATTTCTAACAATATATGCATTCAAGGACGATGATATAGACATTAATCGTGAAAAACAATTTGTATACAAGGATATAATTACTAAGCGATCTAATATTCAGATAAAAAAAAATCAATTATGTTCAGTGCTATACATCATTACGAACATGAACATAGTAATAAATTTGATTTCAGAGAGCTCCTTAAGTGAGCTTGAATTTGTTAAATAAGTCGATAAAGTTGATTTAAAATTTTATTTTATTTAACCCTTCAATACTCTGGTGGGGTATATGAAACCCCAGGCATGCTAGAATTGATATTACATAAAAACGGTTAAATAGTATGATCTGGATTCTTCAATATCTTCATCAAATATATCTTAGAATCATTCCAAATTTCATATATTTCGGTTGAGTAGTTTTTAGATATAAGCATTTTGTGACGGATTGGGGTTTGTGAGCAGGGTTGCCAGGTCAAAATTTTCAAATTGCGGGAGGTATTTGGTATTATGCGGGAGAAATATGAAAATTGCGGTAGAAATATAAAAATTGTTTAAAAAATTTTTTTTATTAAAAATATATTAATTTATAAAAAAAACCAACGATCTTTTTTAAATATAAAAGAATGTAAACAAGATAAAATTTTATAAAAAAAATGATTTTAATTTTACAGTTAAAAATATATTTTAGAATGTCCCGCAAAACGACCGCAATTGGAAATCTACCGTGTGTGTGTATAACATTTTAGGGATAGGCTCTTAATTATAACGTATCACGTTTAAATACATAATAAGGTACTCCAAAAATAAGAAATAATACAAATGCAACTACAGTTGCGGAAATTGTAATCACTTATCTTGTAGTACAACATCACAGAGATACTTATCATCACAATGTTGGTAGAATCTTTTTTCCAAAATATTTAACAACTCTAATATAAATGAAAACTATGCTTGTAGAACAAAAATGAGCAAGACTATCATCAATGTTTTAGGAGGGGATAAATCCAGGCGGTCAATTCTTGACGATTTGAAAGATGGGCATACATATGCAATTCTAACAGATGCATCTAATTCTTGATCCTCCGCTATTTCAAAAAAATAAAGGTCGTTTCAATAAAACTATTAAATTTTTTCCCCTCAAATAGTGAAAAATCTAAAGACATAGCTAACCATATAATGGTAAATATAGTAGATTCGAGATTATCAATAAAATGCATGTCAGCTTTCTGATCTGATAATGCCTCAGTGAATTTGGTAAAAACAGAGTGTATTTACTGAATTGAGTCAGCACAATATTGTTTGCGATATGTTCCGAATACCCGCCATCGATAAAATTTTATAAATCTTTAAAATAATATTACTTATATAAAGATTATAAAAGCTGTCTCATAGGTATATTTAGGAATGATTTCACATGTAGGAAATCTACTACATGCTGTTAATGTGTAGTTGCAATCAGAAGAATCTTAACAAAGATTCACAAAATTATGCTGCAGATGTGTTCATCTTTACAGTTAAAAATTGACAATAAATTTTATGGCGCCATTGCTAAAACTTAATTATATTTTATTTGAGATTTAGATAATAGAACTAAATGTTTACCGTCGTTATTGAGATATATATAAAATTCCTGGCATGACATATTATATATTTGTTAACCATTAGTTTGGCCTCTAATGTTGTTAAAGCAATCCGATTTCTCTCATTTTTCCAGGCAGTCCTTATCAGGCTAAAAATGCTCTCGGATGAGGCATTAGAATGAGGTAAGGAGAAGACATACTCGTATATTTTCCCCAAGCATGGGGATTTATAGTTATTACGAAAAAATTCTACCCATTTATCCTCTGCTTTTAGACCTTCTAACTTTAAGTATTTTGGCGAATCATAAAAAATAGAGAGAATTACAATCTCATCAAACAAGACATCAATGTCTTTTGGTATTTTTAATATATTTATTAAATTATAAAAACCATTGTTGTAATTATGGTAATATTCAAATTTACTAGATTAAGAAAAACGCCAGACAGGCAAATTACTTTTAAACAAAATTATGAAGCCGAAAGATATTCAAATCTACAAAAAAGAATTAAATCTCGGTACAAATAGAGACTATGCAAATGTTGATTAAAGAAAAAGGATTATTAGGATTATTTTATTTTTAACTTAAATTTACTTTTTAATTTTTTTTCTTATATTAATTTTAATTTCCTTTTATTTTGATTATGTTTTTTACTTTGTATTTAATTATATTTATCAGTATTTAATAAAGGATTCAACTATAATTTTAGTATATATTTCTTTTTATATTTAGGTTTGATTTCCAATGACAAAATCTCTCATTGTGACAGTTGTTGTAATATTCAAATGAGTTAAAGAAAAATGAAGAAAAAAGATTTATTATTCAGATTAAAAAAATTCAAGATTATTTCAGTTTGTTTTTTAAACATTATGTAAATGAATATTAGAGAAAAGTATATATAATCGAGGATATTTTTATTGTAAATGGATCATGATTTTACGAACTTAATTTTTTTAATCTTTAATTTTAATTTATATTAATTTTATTTTTCTTTTATTTTGATTATGTTTTTACCTTATATTTAAGTATTTAATAAAGATTTAGTATCATTTTAGTTCTAACCTTTCTTTATTTGACAACGGTTCTAATCACCCAATCCTAGAAATTACATTATTTTACAATGATGTTGGAGAGTGGAGGCGACAGGGCAATTTCAACATTACAGTCTAATTAACTCTGAAAAGAAATTCTAAATAAAGGGGGAAGGGGATGTATGAAATGACTATCGACTAAGACAAAGAATGAAAGCAATAAAACAATGGTATCAATATTAATGATCGTAATTCGGAAAAGAATAAAATTAGTCGTTTAGCTAAAAAGAATTCGTCACAAGAGATCGTTATACATACAAGTGATCGAGGTAGCTAAAAGAAATTCGTGATAAATTTCTATTAAAGATATACGTTTAACTATTATTTAAGTTGATAATATTTAGCAAAATATCAGGTTGTTGATTAACCAAAATCTTCATAAAGAGAAACGGCTTTAGTCATTAGAAAATATATGCCGCAATCGAGCTCAATTAAAGATGGGATTTTTATTTTGGATCAAAAGATACAAGAAATCATTATCGTATAAGAGATCTTAAGGCAACGTGGATATCTTGACAAGCGACTAGGTAGAACAAGTGGTCAAGACCAGGATGCAATCGTTAATCGTTGACAAATTATCGCCAATTGCTTATCAAAACTTTAGTATATTGATGGTTTCTAAGGTCATAATATTTATACATTTGTAAATAGAGTTATTAATATCAAATTTTGATTGCAAATATTCTAAAATTGTCTTAATAAAAATATCTGCTTCATTTAAAAATGTATTAATTAGAGTATTATTTGAACATTTTAATATAATATTTTTAGCAATAGCGCCATAAAATTTATTATTAATGATTTTGTGAATCTTTTTTAATAAAGAATATTCTGATTGCAATTAAATATTAACTGAACGAAGTAGATTTCCTACATGTGAAACGAATCCCAAATATGCTTCTGCCATTTCATACTCGAAAAAATTTTTCAAAATTTTAGGACAGCTTTTAAAATCTCTATTTAAGAAGTATTATTTTAAGGGTTAATTTTAAGATTCTATCGATGCCAGGTATTAATGACAACCACCTGATAGGTAAATATCGCAACAACTCACACCATTCCAAGTCAGACCACTTCACCAACTCTTTTAATTCATTAACTCTTTTAGTTAATGAACTAAATTCGTTAAAACATTTCATCACAATTATTTCGACATCCACAGATAGTATATTCATTGCCTTCTTGCAAGAATTATGTAGTATATGGCATATACAACCAACTGGTATTAATTCATTATTGTGCTGCCTCAATTCGATAACTTTGGATTTTGCCAAAATTTACAGAGGCATTATCAGCGCAGAAAGCTGACATGGAAATCATTGACAACCGTGAATCAGCTATATTTACCATTATGTAGCTATCAACATTGTTGGATTTTTCACTATCCGAGGAAAAAATATTAACAGTTTTATTGAAATGTTCTTATTCTTGTTGAAATGGCGAAGGATCGAGGGAAATGTTTTAATATTTCCTATTAGATGCATCTGTTAGAATTGCATATGGTTGCCCATCTTTCAAATCGTCTAGAATTGACCTCTAGGATTCAGAATACTAAAACACTTGTGATAGCATTGTACATTTTTGTTCTGCCACAAGTAAGGTTTTCCCTTATATTGGAGTCATTAAATATAATGAGAAAAAGATTCGTCCCGCATTGTGATGATATAGCTCTGTGAATGTTGAACTACATGATAGATGTATACCATTTCCGCAAATGTAGTTGCATCTGTATTATTTATTATTCTTGAGAATATTTTTGTATTGCAATCGATGTTGATATACTCCTCTGTACTGACTTATATGAATGAAATGATGTTGAATTATTATTGGATAAAAATAAAACAGGATAGAAGGAAATTTCCAAACTAGACATGTTTTTCGAATAAATATATAAAATTTATTTAAAAAATATAAAAATAATCAATGAATGTCTCTCAAAATTATTATTTATATATTAAAAACGTGAAAATACTAAAAAAAAATTCGGTAAAAATTAAAAAAATTGCGGTAGATTTTTGCAAGAGATTTCCAATTGCGGTAGTTTTGCGGAAGAGAGGTCTGCGCGTAAACTAAAAAATTGTGGGAGTCTCCCGGTGATGTGGGGAGATATGAAAACCCTGTTTGT